TTTGTTGTGGCATGATCAGATATTACCATAACTCTTCTACCATCATATGGATCATCAGGAAGACTCTTCTCATCTCCATAATTCGGAAATATAATGTTATTCATAAATTTATCATACGCTTCTTGTACTTGTCGTTGTTTAGCCATTCTCCTTTCCCTTAAATTGATTGGATGAAATTGTTTAATAAACCATTCATTTCTTCTATTCCTATTAAAATACGTTTCTGCTTCTTGTTCTTCTTCTCTTCGTTTCTCTCTAAATCTCATTTCAGATCGACTACGTGGTGAAAACATTCCACTTTCATCTTCTCTTCGAATATCTCTTCGTGGTGAAAGATATGGCTCATCTCTTCTCATTTCTCTTCGTGGTGATAAGTATGGTTCTTCCCTTCGAATATCTCTTCGTGGTGAAAGATATGGTTCTTCTCTTCGAATGTCTCTTCGTGGTGATAAGTATGGTTCTTCTCGCCTTACTCCTCTTCGTGGTGAGTACCCATTCCATTCGTTATGTCTTATCATATCCCATTCTCGTTCATTCATTCTTTCATTCGTTCGGTCTCGATCTCGTGGTTTAGGTGAATAACTAATTGGAGAATCACTCATACTGTCATCAGGAGAATACCTCCTTGAATAATAATTACTTGAAGAATAACTTCCTCGATATGACATCACTCGTTACTCAGGCTAATCAAGATCTCGATAATTACTATATTTCATTTCTTAAGGATTTTTTGCTCTTTTTAGGGTTTTATTTTGTGTTTTGATAAAAACAAAAAATCGTTGTGTTATTTATTTTTATGATAAAAAAGGAAAAAATTGTTAAAGAACTAAAAAAATTATGATTTTATTATTTTTTGTGTTAACCATATTGATTAGTATAGTACATGGCCAATATCCTACTACTACACCTCAACAACAACCCAATCAACAAACGAGTTCCCAACAACCTAATCAACAAATAAATACACAACAAATTATCCCACCACAAATTAATGCAACAACATTTGATAATAAGGCATTTCAAAAACAAGTAAAAGCAGATTTTGAAGAGGCTCAGAGACAAAGAGTTGTACAATCAAATGAACAGAAAAAAGTTGATCATTTAACACTAAGTCAAATTGAAGCACAAAGAAAACAAGTATTTGAAAACTATAATAAAATGAAATTAGAAGAAAAAAGATTAAAATTAGCTATTCATGGAAAACTTCCAGGGCAAAAAGCTGATTTAATTTCTGATCCTTTATGGAAACGCATTGGTCTTCCTGATCCAAGTATTAATACAACAAATCCAAATATGACAAATGGGACAAACCTAACTTATCCAAACCAACCTTTGTTTACACAAAATAAAAAATAAAAGAAATATAAAAATCATTTTAGTTAGTTTTGATTATTTATTTTCTTTCTTCTAACTTAGATTTAATATAAAAAATTCATTAATTTAATTATTTCTTGTTCTTCTTTGTTTAATCTAAAATGCTTTTAATGATTTATTGTTGTTCCTCTTCATCATCATCATCACTTTCTGACATAATATCATCATCTCCTGATTCTTCTTCTTCTGCATGATATTCTTCGTCATTATCTCCACTATCATCATCTTCTTCTTCCATTCTTCTTTCAGTGTTTTGTAATGTTTCTTCTAATTTTAATTGGCTTTCTTTTAAGTATCCAACTAAGTTTTCATACTCATTTCTATTCATTCCTGTAAATTGTAAACTACCTCTTCTTCCTTTCAAGTTGATTACAAAATCAAATGTTTTATTATCATTACTTGCATTCATTCTTAAAATATCAACACTCTTAATATCCTTAAACATTATAATTCTAATTCTTTTAAATACAAAAATAAAACTATCACTCATTGGGAATAAGAATCCTTCATTCGTACTTAAATTACATTTTAAGAAATGACTGTCATTAGTTTTAAACTTATGTCCTGATGAAATGATTGGCACATTACATAAACTTCTAAATAACTCTACAAAAAGATCTAATTCATTGTCTGTCATTGATTCTTCTAATCCAGTTTTATTTTCAAACTCTTTTGTTAAATGTAATTCTGCTGTAACTTCTTCATTTGAAGATAATTCCATAACAAGACATTCATAAATACTTTTTCCTTTTTTTAAAGGGTTAGATAAATTAAGAATAAAGAACGATGTATCTTCATCCTTTCTAAGTTTATAATAACGAACAATATCTTTATAATTAATTTTAAAATCATAAGTTTTATTTTGTACTCTCACTGAATCTTCATAAATCTTTACATCATAATGCCCTTTTGGTGATAAAAATCCAATGTTCTCAAATAAACAGACTTCTTTACCTGCTGCATTAGTTGGAGTAACTTCAGCAATTCTATCATATAATTCTGTTGCATTATCTTTATCATTTTGTTGTTCAGTTTGTGGTGCAAAAAATTTAATTTCAGATAGTGCGTCTCCATCCTTAGAATCATCAAACTCAATTGAAACTTCAGTTTTATTGGAGATAGAACTTTTTGTAAAATCTTTTGGATTCATATCGAATATTAGATACCCGTCATGTGTTAATTGAACTGAACTTTTATCAATTTTTATTCTTCCCCAATTAAATCCAGAAACACAATACTCTTTCTCTTGCATTATTTGAGTATTTATTGAATCTTTTTTAAGTTCCTTTTAAATTATTCTTTACCATCATAAATAGTATCTTAATTTTTCTTGATTTTTTCTAAAACAAAAAGACAAAATTCTTAATACCAAAAGTTAAAAAACTATAAAAAAAAGAAAATAAAAAATGCAATTTTCCCATGAAAACTACAAGAACTTATGGACACCGTTCTGTTGTTTCTGAACAAATATGTGGAACCAATGGGAAATCAAGTCCTAAAAAATTCATTCATGAACAGAACAACACTTCTTTAAAACAACTTGGATTAAATTTTGAACCACTCGTATCAACATTTATTTCTATGCATGGTGGGGTATGTCTTGAAAGTACTCGTCTTCATAATTCAATATTTATTAATAATTCTCCAATTATTTGTGACATGTTATCTTCTGATGTTGGAAGGTATGCTGTGTTATGTGCATTACAATTCTCATTAACTTTATGCCTACCTCACGATACTATATCAATTCCAACACCAGAATTTATTGTTTCCCATCTTATTCGAAGACATCCAAAAAGTAAAGCATTTATGGCATTGAATGGTACTGTTGGTATATTGAAAAATGAAGTTATTAAATATAAAAAGAATTCATTAAAACTATGGAAATGTCAATACGATCTTATGCATGAATTTCTTACTAAAGAGTCTCATGTCCAAGAAGAGGAAACAGACTTTTGTGTGAATGTATTAGGTGGAGATATCTTACACACTCCAGTCGGTGCAATTCCTATCTTAGTCATTGATGAACCATTTAGGTGGGAAGGTTGTTCTTGGGGGTGGGGTTGGGATACTGTTGATAGTTGGAAAGTTACTAGAGTAGAATTTATAGATAATAACATTGACCAATTACTTGGGAGTGATTTCCCTAATTTACGCTATATCGAACAAAAGAAAAAAGAAGAAGAGTTGAAAGAAACAAGCCCTTGTGTTTTACAAGAAGAAATAAAGATAGAAAAAACTCAAGAAAATAGTGATGAAATAAAACCAGGAAATAAGGAAGAACAACGTCAAGAAAGTATTGATATTAAACAGGAGTTTATAGGACAAAACGAAAAAGATATTGTTGAACAAGAAAGTACTAAAAATGGTTCTGACCAAGAACATGAGTCCCCTTCAGATGAAGATACTTTTAGTCAATTTACTGTTTCAGATAATAAAACTTTAAAGAAGAAAACAATCATTATAAGCAAAAATGAAAAGGACCCAAATCAACGTTCTGAAGTTATTAGTATGAGGAGACAAACAATTTCAGGTATTATTGAAACAACGAAATCACCTAATGACACTTCTTTAATTGGAAGATCAAAAACATTCAAAGAATTACGGAACAGTAAAACAATATCAATTAAGATAGAACCTAGTAAAACAGAAATAAAAGATGATAAAATTTCTATTTCAGAAGATTATAAAATTCCTAAGTATTTACAAAAAAATGAAATGGATAAAGGACTTAAAGATGGGTATGAAGTGTTTAAAACTTTTCTTACTTTTTCTTGTAATATTACTATTCAAGACTATATACTAGTTTCCATTAAAAGATTTCCAAATTTAGTTAAAGGAATGGGATTGAAAGAAAGAGCTGAAGTTATGTACGATTTGATGCAAGGGGTAATGGACCGTACTAACAATTCACCAATTAGATTAGATGGGTTATATAGAAAAATGTTTATTAAACATTTATGGGAAGTCTTCACAACCTCTCTTTTTAATTTTCTTTGGCCACCCATTATTGAAAGAAATGAAGGAGATGTTGTATTTGAATGTAACCAAAGAGACTCAGAATTAAATACAATTATTTCAACACACCAATTTGTGGCTCCACATCATTTTGACTTAGGCTTTTTAGAAAATGATTTAGGAAAAAGAGGGATTGACCTTATTAGTAAAGAGTTACGTCTGATTAATTCATATTGTTCACCGAGAAATAAATCATACCAAATTTATAATTGTTTCAAATTAGCAACTGAAGTTGTTGGTCGTCTTCAATCAACAGCAGTTTCTGCTGATCTTCTATTGCCAACTATTATTTATTGTATTATTTATTCTTCTCCATTAAATTTAGTATCTACTATAGAGTATCTCACGAATTTCACACCAAAATGGGCTGGATTACCTTCAGAAGTAAGTTATTATATTGCACATATGCATAGCGCAGTAAGTTTTCTCATGAGATTTAGTCAACGATCATTAACAATATCTCCAAATGATTATTCACTGTTTTTATATTATTCTAAAAGAAGAGTTAATCCATTCATTCGTCCAAAAAGTATTTTATTGAAAGAAAATATTACATGGAATATTGATAAAAAAGAAGGAGAAAGTGAAGTTAATGCTATTTTATTTAATGTTTCAACAACTGATTTAGATGAAGACGATGCACCTGTTTTATTAACATGTTATGCACAGTTACTCTCTGATAATAAAGTGTTGTTAAAGAACCTATAAAAAAGTGTTAACTTTGTACATCCATAAAAAAAAACGATAAAAAATTTATTCAATCATTTTTAAATTCATTCAAGTTTTCTTAAACAATGTATTGAGGAGTATTTCCTTCTTTTAATAATATTCGCTCATCATAAGTAAATAATGGAGCATAATAAACGTCCCACATATCTTTATGACTTTCCCAAAATTCTAATAATGCATTTTTCTTTGAAGTAATACAAGATTTAATAGTAAATGTAGTTGAAGCAAAATCAACAAGAACCTTCACAAGGAATTTAGGAATTTCAGTTTTATAAGTTGAAATTAAAGATAAAACAGCAAGAATATAAGAATGTTGCTGAGATTCATTAGAATCTTTTTTAATTGCATTAGTTCTTAATTGTTCAATTCTATGACATACATTTTCAATAGGATGGAAAATATCAATAATAGTAAATAATACGTCAGATGTAATTAATCTAATTTGAGTTTGATTTGATTGTAATAATTCAAATACAAAGTTCAACATTCTATCAATATGATTTTTTGTAATTTGGAATTCGTGCACACAAATTGTTACTGTAAAGTTTCTAGATAAGATTGAAAATTGATTTACAGCGTTAGAATATTTCTTCATTAACTCATATAATTTATTTAAATATAATTCAAATGAACATTTATTTAAAAAGATTGAAGAATAATTTTCTAATGTTTCTACAACATCATTCATTACCCCATGTGTTGTCTGTGCATATGTTAATAATTTATCATAAATACTAAAGAGAATTGGTAAATGTTGATTATTAATAATAAAAGATTGATCGCAATTTGGGAATAATACTTTTGATACAATTTTATAAGATGATGGAAGTGCAATTTCATCAGTCCTAATTTCTTCATTATTAATAGGTAATTCTTGTACAGTTTGTGTTATATAATCTAAAAATCCAATCATTTGTTGTGGATATAACATTTGATTAATAACTGATTTTGAAGCAAATGTAATTGCACATTCACTAATTTGTTCTGTTGGATTTTTTATAATTTCTTCAAACCTTTTTATAGCAAATGGCATAATATCTAATCGAATGCGACTAATATTTAATAAAAACATTTCAGCTAAAATACTTTGTTTTTTAGATGCAATTTGAATAAAATCTTTAGTAATTCTTGGGTCTGCTCTGCCAGAAAATAAAGCATGTAATCGGTTAGCATATGCATAGACATCTTCATATTGTTGATTTAACACATCTTCAAACATCATAACTAATTCTTTTTTTAATGGTTCAATTTCATTAACTCCTAATGACTGTAATCCTTCAACACATAACTGGAATAATACAATAGCACATCTATAATCTTCTTTAGTTTTTCTTCTAAGTTTTTCATTTGCAATATCTATTAAAACTTCAAATGCTTCTTTTCCTAGTATTTGAATAAATCTTAACATTAATACATAATCATTTAAACTAATATACTTTCCTTCATCTTCATCTTCATCAGAAACAATATCTTCTGCAGTAATCATTGAAAGATTTTCAATATATTTCTTTAATAATTTACGATCAAAGAAAAATTGTTTTAATAATTCTTTTTGTTCTTCAGGGAATTTGTAATGAACTGAATCAACAAGAAAAGCAGCTACATTTTGATATTTAGTAGTATAATTTAATACAAAATTTCCATGTGAATCTTCAATTTTTCCATTTAATATTTCATTTTCATTTATTACATGAACATGATGTCTAAGCATTTTACTATACTTTTCATATTTTTTAATATTTTCTTGACACTCTTCGTTACCTCTAACCACTACAACAACATTTCCATGGTCTCCAAAATGTCTAATATAATTCCTTAATAATAGTCCATATCTTTTTGGTAATGGCGCTTGAGCCACTAATTGTTTTAAACAATATTCGACAAATGAATTAGGAAGTTTATTATGTGTTAATAAATATGCACTAATAAATTTTTGTAAAAAGGAATGGGTTAATGGATGAACTTCACTTCCTTGATATAGTAATGTTAAAAACTCTTCTGGAATTTCTTTTAATTGAAAAACAGGACTTGATTCTGCTACTAATTGGAATTGTGAAAATAATGTTGTTAGAGGAGTATTACTAAATACAGAAGGGTCCTTAAAATGTACTGTAATAAAGTGTTTAAAAATATCAAAGAATATTGGAAAGTCATTCATTGGTAGATGACCGACATAAGTTGATATTAATTTTAAACCAAAGATATATGGCTTTACATTTTGATCAGTAATAATAGTAGGCAAATGAGAAACTAATTGTTGGACAATATATTTGGCATTTTCTTCTTTAAAGAAATTAGATTGATTAGCATAATTATGAAATTCTGGATCAGAAATACAAATAGCAAGTAATTCTTCTTCAATAAATACATCTATATCTAAAGGACTTATTAAAGAATCATATATATGCCCTTGTAATTGGAATAACAGTGTTGTTGCTTGTTCATAATATAAAATTGGTGGAAATTTGTTTTCAAATGATCTTTTTGAAGGATGAACTAAGAATGAGATACAACTTGGTTCATATGAAGAACTTTGTTTTTTAATATAGATCCTAATAATCTTAAGATATTTCTCAATTATTTTATTATCATCTTCAAAACATTCCCTAATACGTTGTGCTCCTGTTACAATAATTCTTCCAATATCTTCCCATTGAATTCTTCTTTCATATTGTGACTCTAGTTGTTTTCTTATACATTCATATTTATTAGGTAATTGAACGTTGTGTTCTCTAATATCGTAAAGAATACTAGCACCTTCAACAAAACATTCTAAAACATCTACAATAGAATAAAATTCATTTCTTTTATTTTTTAACTCATTTACATTAAATAAACATATTTCTTTTAATTTATTAAAATAAGTATAAATATATTTATCATAAACTTGTTGAAAGAATTCTTTATCAATAATAATTTGTGGATCTTCATGGGCATTTGGAGTCATCTCATAATAATTTTCAAACTTCATTGGATATGTTGGTTTAAACAAAGGAAGAGAAAAAGTAATTCCACCAATTGCACAAATTTTTTTACAACAATCAATACTTTGTTCTCTAATTTTTTCTTTAGGATGTACATTAAAATGATCCAAAATAATAAATAATTGTTTCTCATATTTTTTAAAATTACATCTAATACTTAATGTTGAATATAATAAACTTAAACAATACTCTAGTTCATTTTCACTTAAATTAATTATCGAATATTGTTCCCCATTTTGATGACACATCTTTGATAATACTAAATTCATTAATTTATTTACAAAAGAATTAGAATAATATACAAGAATACCAATAATTACATTCATACAATCTAAAAGTGTTGTGGTATCATTTAAATATAATAATATTCTTTCTTCAATAATTTTTCTATGTTCACTTTCAAAATGAAGTAATGTTTCAAGTGCATTATAATATTCATTTGTAAATGGAAATACATCAAGATTACTTACGTCTTTCATTAATGATATTAATGATGCAAAATATTCAACTAATAGATCTGGAAGAATAAAAAAAATGCTTCGTTGTATAGAATCATTAGCTACAGTATTTGGTGGACTATCAACTAAATAAAATTGTTTTGATAATGTTATGATAAGATCTACAACAATAGAATTAACATCTGGAATTGTAGAATTATATCTATGTAATTGAAATACTAAATTTACAATATCAACAGCTACTTGATCATTATCTTCAATAAGTTGTGGTAATATTTCAATAAATAATGACACAACTACAAGAAATGTTTGTAAATGATGATCATCAGGTTTACAATTTATTAATTGACTATATTCTTCTATAACTAATTTACATACTCTCTTTCCATCAACACACATTAACCAACGAATAATATCTTTACATTCTTGTGGTAATTGTTCACTAAAGAACATTGGTTTCATTGTTTTAAAAATAGTATCAACAAAATGTTGAATAGACTCTTTATTTAATTGATTTAATAATCCTTCATGTAAGAAATAAACTACTAACCCTTTAAGAAAAACAAATACTGTATATAATCCATCATTATCTCCTGCTATTGTTCTATGAACTGACTCAAAAAATATACGAAGTTTTAAAAGTATTGGTGATATTTCATTTGTATGAACTTCTTCATGTTCAATTAAAGAAATAATAAGTAATGAAGCTACAGTAAGAAAATCATCATCATCTGGTTTAACAACAATAAGACCTTTAAATGGATTATCTACACCATCTAAAATACCATCCCCTCCATTAAATTCATAAAATAAATCATGGTTTATTCTATTAAATATAAACTCTATATCATTTTCATTTATATTAACATTACTTTGATTTGTTAATACATCAGTTAACATTACCATCATAAAATAATCCATTGCATCACTTGTATAAATACTTTCCCATTGATCCATTAATTCTCTTAAATATAAGTGTTGTGCTTTACTAGGCATGAATGTATTAACAAGAAATGATTTCTTTAATCCATTAGTAACACCTGGAAATAAATTAATTCTATCAATAATTTCTTGTGCATCTTCTTCTTTAAAGAAATTCTTAAAATGTAACACAAGAAATCCAGAATTGAAAGCTAACTCAGTAGAATTATTATTAACTTTTTTAAATGCATGGCGATAATCTAATTCTAACCCTTTAAACGTATCTTTAGAATGATCTCGAAAGTGTATTCTTCCAAATATTTGATCGGCATCATTAGAACATGTAAATGAAGATAATTCTGTGTCAGAAACACCAAACATCCCTTTTACATTAGCTGATGATAAAACTAATTCAATAATTAGTGAAATAGCTTTTTGTTGTTTATTATAATAATATTTATCACTAATACCATTGAAACAAAATTTTACTAACTCTCTTATTTCTTCATCAGTAAGACCTATTCCAGAATAAAGAAATTCTTGAAAATTATTAAGTACATGCTTTAATGAAATATAATCTTTTTTTAATAATTCTTTATTTAACTTAAAAATAAATTCGTGTATCTCTTCTTGTAATACAGGAATTATTGGAACGTATTCTTTCAAATAACAATTCCATAATTGCATGATAGGATCTGGTTTTTGTTGCTGCATATTGTCGTGAATGATTTTGAAGTTTTTTTTCCTTTTTTTTGGTCCATTTTAATAAACCCTATTGTACCAATCTCTTTTTTGTATTTTACTTTTCTCTTCACTAGTTCACTTCATCTCATATCCATTCTGTTAACTATGACAAATGTCATTCCTTCTTTTTAAAGTATCTTTTTCGTTCAATTCAATTCTTCTCTTTTAGGTCATCCTCATTTACTGTTATATAAAACGAAAATACTTTTTCGTAAAATAAGAAATAAAAAACATAAAAAAAAAATCAATAACAATAAATAAATTATTCATATTAAATTCAAAACAAATCAAAAAGCATTTACTCATTATCTTTTCTGTTTTCTTCAAAGTTTTTCAATTTCTTTAAAATAACGAAACTAAATCATCCAAATTTGAAAAAAATCAATCTTTTTTTTCAAAAAACAATCAAGAAATTATAAATATAGTAAATTAAATTATAAAAGTTATTGTTTGTCTTAATTCGACTAGTATAGAAGAAGAATAAAAATAAAAAGAAGTAAGAAGAAGAACTTAATAATCAGTTAAAGATTTAAATGGAACAAGAGCAAGAGTTGTTTCAAGAAATTGCATCTGTAGATTTTCTTAATTTTTCATTTGGTTCTAAAGCTTACAGCCAACAATTAAAGGATGCGTTTAAACGTTCTGGTTTAGTATGTGGAGTTACGTGTCTAATTCGATATATAAATGTTTGTTAGTATCAAAACTATTATTTATAAATTAAAAAAGAAAGAGGCAATAACAATTACAGGGAATTAAAGTGGTTTGGATGAGACATGAATTTGATTTTATTGGAGGTTCATTAGGATGTGCTGAAGGTGAAAAATTATCTCGAGGATTTGAATACGCTAGTTCTGAAGGATTACCAGTTATTATCGAAATAAGATCTGGAGGTGCTCGTATGCAAGAAGGTACATTATCTTTAATGCAAATGGCTAAAGTTAGTGTTGCTGTACGTGCATTTAAAAGTAAACATTTACCATTTATTACAGTTTTCCAAGACCCTACATTTGGTGGAACAACAGCATCATATGCTATGCAATCAGATATTAGAATTGGAGTTTATGGAGGAAGAATTGGATTTGCAGGTGAAAAAGTTATTTTAAACACTGTTTATAGAATGGATCAAGAAGCATTTGATAAAGCATGTCCAAAAGGATTTCAAAGTGCACAATTTCTTCATGACCATGGACAAGTTGATTTGGTTGTACAACAAGATGATATTGATTCAACTGTTAGTAATATACTTCGAATACTCAAAGCTAAACAAACAGGAGTTATGATTGATAAACCTATCGAAGTAGAAAAACGTGGAACTATTGAAAGAAAGTTTTCATACACTACATCAAGAACTGATACAAGGGTACAAGCTATTGATATATTAGAACATTTATTTGATGGATTTATTGAATTGCGTGGAGATGGAAAACAAGGTGCTGATAAATGTATAAGAGGAGGAATTGCTCTATATCATAATTATCCATGTGTAGTTATTGCTACAAGAAAAGGACACAACCCTCAAGAAATGATTGAGTCAAATTATGGTATGGCATCTCCTGCTGGATATAGAACTGCTACAAGACTGATGCTATTAGCTGAACAATTTGCTCTTCCAGTTATTACATTAGTTGATACTCCTGGTGCTTATCCATCATTTGAAAGTGAAATTGAAGGACAACCTGAAGCTATTGCCACTTCATTATTGACTATGGCTGGATTAAAAGTACCAATTATAACTGTTATGGTTGGAGAAGGTGGAAGTGGTGGTGCATTAGGTATTGCTATGGGTAATATTATTGGAATGTTATCAGGTGGATATTATGGAGTTATTACACCAGAAGGAGCTGCAAGTATTTTATGTAGATATAGTTCAGACGAAGATAAAGCAAATAGATTCCATCATGATTGTGAAGAAATTTCCCAAAAACAACAAATTTATTGTGTTGATCTTAAAAGACTCGGAGTCATTGATGAAATTATTGATGAAGTGGACAAAGAAACATACGATAATTGCCCAATTTTACTAAAGAGAGTTAATGAGTTTATTACTAATTCTTTAACAACATTATTAAAAATGGAACCTTCTGAACTTGTTTTGACTCGATCAAAGAAGTTTAGATTAATGGGAATTTATGGTCATTGTAATCCTACTCCAAAGAATTCTTCACCTGTTCCTCGTTTAGGTGGGGCTACTCCTGCACCAATTGCATCATATAAACCAGTAGCAACTCCACAACAAATAATTACAACACAATCAGGAAATGCAGCTGGATTAATTAATTTTATTGCTGATGTAACCGTTAATGCAAATATTAGTTTAAGAAATAAAAATGTACCATCAGATTGTTTTGTTATTAAACATCTTGAACCGGAAAAAATAATTGAAAAAGCAAGAATTGATAGTCCTAAAGGTATTTTAGATAGTCAAGGACCAGATGCTCTTGTTGACTGGATTAGAAATCAAAAAGAAATATTAATCACTGATACTACTATGAGAGATGCTCAACAATCATTATTAGCTACTAGAGTTAGAACTGCTGATTTATTAAGTGTCGCAGAAGAACATTCCTGTCAATTAGACCATGCATTTTCAATGGAAATGTGGGGAGGTGCTACATTTGATGTATGTTATAGTTTCTTACATGAGTCACCATGGGAAAGATTAAGGTTATTAAGAAAAAGAATACCAAATATTTTATTCCAAATGTTATTGCGTGGAAGAAATGCAGTTGGATATACTAATTATCCAGACAACCTTATTAAAGAATTTGTATTCCAAGCTGCTAAGAATGGAATGGATGTATTTAGAATATTTGATTGTTTTAATGATGTTAGTTCAATGGTCACATGTGTAAAAGCTGTTAAGGAAGCTAAAAAGATTGCGGAGTGTTGTATTTGTTTCACAGGTAATTTCATGTCACCTGATGAACATATTTATACATTAGATTATTATAAAGAAGTGGCTAAAAAGATTAATGAGATTGGAGCACATTGCATTGCAATTAAAGATATGGCAGGTTTATTTAAACCACAAATGGCAAAACCATTTATGAATGCAATGAAAGAAGTTACTGATCTTCCTATTTTCTTCCATTCACATAATACTAGTGGAACAATTATTAATACCCTTATTGCCTTAACAGAAGCTGGAATTGCTGGTGTAGATGTTGCTTTACCAGCAATGAGTGATTGTACTTCACAACCTTCAATGGGAGCATTCTTAGCTTGTATTGAAGGAAGTGAGAGAGCTCCACAAATTAATTATCGAAAACTTGAACGACTTGATTCTCATTGGAGAAATATCAGAAGTTTGTATTTTACTAATGAAAGTGGTATGAAAGGAGGAACTACAAAAGTGTATGATCATCAAATGCCAGGAGGACAATATAGTAATTTACAAGCCCAATGCAAAGCACTTGGATTATGGGAGAGATGGGATGAAATTACTAAGATGTATTCAGATGTTAATAAAGTATTAGGAGATATTATAAAAGTAACACCATCAAGTAAAGTAGTAGGAGACCTTGCACTCTTTTTAGTTAATAAAGGATTAAAAGCAGAAGATGTATTAAATCCAAACATACCAATTGAATTTCCAGAGAGTGTAGTTGGATTAGCTTCAGGTAAATTAGGATATCCACATAGAGGATTTCCAGATAAATTTATTGAAAGGGTGTTAGGAAAAAATAAAGTTATTAAAGTAAATGAAAAATTAGTTGACATGGACTTCAGTCAAGCAAAGACTTATTTACAAAATAAATATGGAAGAGTTTTTAAAATGGAAGAAATAGTTAGTTATGGACTTTATCCAAAACAATTTGAAGCATATTTAGAATTTTATAAGAAATATGGCGGAGATTATTTGCTTACATTACCAACATTAGTATTTTTATATGGAATGAATATTAATCAAACTATTAATGTATATTCTATTGATCCTGATAACTTAGAAGATGTGACTATTAAATTAATTAGAGTTGGTCCTTTAACTCTTGAAGATACTAGGTCATTAGCATTTGTTGCTAATGGATGTAGACACGATGTAAAAATAAATGAAACTCAAGGACAAAGATGTACCCTTCAACCAGCTGATAAAAAGAATATTACTCATTTAGCATCACCATTATTAGGAAATGTTGGAACAGTATTTGTTAAAGAAGGAGATGAAGTTGTAAAAGGAGCACCTATAATGACAGTAGAAGCAATGAAAATGAAAATAACTGTTGGTGCACAATTTGATGGTGTTGTTAAAAAAATAGTAGCCTGTGAAGATTCAAAAGTAGAGAAAGATACACTTCTTGCTATTATTATTCCAAGTACTACAGAAAAATAAAGAATTATTGAATTTTCTTTTTATCAATTTGTTAATTATAAGAATTTTATTGGAATAATTAATTTTTAATGTTTATAAGATATAAAAATGTTGTTTCTTTGCCTGTTGTTTAATTTAAAATTCAAATAATAAATAATTTTAACATAAACTAAAATTATTCTATAAAAATAAAAATTTTTCTCTTTTATTATTTTTATTTTTTTGTCTATGGAAAAATTTAGGGTATTACTAGGAAAAACGGCTATCAAGACAGGCACAAGAAACAACAAATATTTGGATAAATCAATAAAAGTTAAAAAATATCCCGATAAAATAGTATTCAATAACGAAAAATTTTTAAATTTAGAAGTAACATTAGTGGTGATTTTCTCAAACGGAATGCCTATCGATAAAGAATGGAAAAATGTCAAATAGAAACAAGAGAATATACAAAAAAGAAAAGAATATTTGCCTGCCTACTTGAATATAAAAGAAAATTTTGAAAAAAATAAATTACAAATAATCATTAATTAAAATGGTTGTATCATTCTTCATTGTTGTTTTTCTTCTCTTTACTCATCAATCTTTTGCTCAAACTTATCAAGGAGAGCATTGTGATCTTGGATGTTTATTAAATAAACTTAATCTTACCATAGAACTTGGTAGAAATGATGCATGTGCTAGTGATATTGGAACTGCTCAAATGTGTTTTAAAACAATAAATATTAATTCAATTGAACTTAATGAATTAACTGCTACAGAAGATGATGTAACAAATCCACAATCATTAACAGTTAATGTTGGAGTAAACAGTATTTATGCTAAAGCTGTTTTTTGGTTATACAAAGATAGTGATGCAGAAGTTGGTGAAATGGAGTTTACTGTTAAAAATATTAAATTGAGTGCAACCCTTGATTTTGAAACAGAAGAATATCTTGGTTATAGTATAGTTAAAAAAGTCTTTACTACTATAACTGTTCAAGATGGAATATCTTTTGATAACGTTGTTTGTACTTGTTATGATGGAGGATTTTTCACTGACCATACTTGTTGGTGGATTAAAACTACTGTTGGTATAGCTAGTGGACTTCTTGATACTATTGTTCCTAAAGTACTTGACAGTCAAATGTCTAAAATTGAAGAATCAGTAAACACTGCTTTAACTGATTTATTTGCTGATGTCAATGATAATTATATTAAGCCATATATTGGTAATCTTGATCCTCAATATATTCCTGTTCCAGAAGGAATGATAAATGTAACTGAAAGTTCAATGTTTGATATGGTTTCCTGGGCAACTACTTACTTACTTGGAGGTAATACTTCACTTGGATTAAATAATTTAATTAATAGATTCACTCAAGATACTGGAAATATTGTGGTTGGATCAAATGGTAATGATACATTCTCAGATTTATCACCATTGATTATTGAATTATTAACTTTCAATGACATTGAATTAGGTGATCTTAATGCTACTTTAGATTTTGGAGTTACATTCTTTAATATTAGTGGATTAAATACATGTAGTAAAATGGAGTTCTTTGAGCCATTAAGAAATACTATTGATCCTGTTACAAATCAATCAGTTTGTGAAGAGTTAGATACATGTGATCAACAATTAAAACTTTCATCTGGTCTTGATCGTTTAGAAATTAATGTAACATTTGCACTTAATATTACTTCTAATAGTAGTACATTAGATATGGGAAGGAGAAGTATTACATGAAGAAGGTAATTTATATATTAAAGTAACTGATAATTATATGGAAGGAAGAATTCAAGTTGCCATTCCAGAAGGACAATTTGAAGAGTATTCAAATAATCAATGTACTAATCTTACTTGTTGGTTGGCATTATTCCAAAATGGTACTGGTGTTCCATACATTAGGTTTAACACATCAATAGATTCTTTACGTTTAAGTGCTGGATCACCTGATGCAACAAGTGAATTAGATGAAGGGGTTCAAAGTTTAATTAATTCTGTTGCTGATGTATTTATTAATAGATATAGAGCGGTTATTCCTGTATTCTTAAATGGATTAGTCAATAACCTTGGAACTGGTTTTATTAATGATTTCCTTAATGATAATTTAAATGCTACTTGTGAAGAAAATCCTGATCCTGAAGTAAAAGAATATAAACCAGCTGTTGTAGCATCAACAATTTCAATTGCAGTTGTATTATCTATTATTTTATGTGCCATTGCTATTATTGTTTTAGTTGTTAAATGGAGATTTGGAAAGAATCATGAAGAGTCATCTGTAACAACTACTGGAGAAAGTAAAGAAAGTGACTCATCAAGTGAAGGAGAAAAAGAAAAGAAACCATTTTTACAAAGATTAAAGTCATTCCCATTATGGTTCTGTAAACAATGGTTAAGAACAGACGAAAAAGGAGCATCATTATTCCTTCATCCACACGTTAATATTGTGATTAGAGTTATTATGCCATTCTTAATTCTTTTGAACATTGCATTATTTATTACATCTAATACAGGTACTGGTGCTACAGTTAATGCATATATTTCAATTGGAAGTAGTCAAGTTATTACAATGCCAGTTTCTGATTTTGGATTGATGAATTCAGTAGAAGATATGTGGACAGCTGGAGTATATCCACTTGCTGTTTTAATTATGGTATTCTCTGGAATTTGGCCTTACACTAAATTGGTAATTTTATTATTCACATGGTTTATGCCATCAACATTAGTTGTTCCTAAAGTAAGAGGTATTATTCTAAAAGTATTAGATGCATTAGGTAAATGGTCTATGCTTGATTCATATGTTATGGTATTGATGATTGTTGCATTCTACTTTGATATTCCATTGCCAATTAGACATCCAGAGTCTATTAATGATCCAGTTAAGATCAATTTATATGTTTATCCAGCATATGGATTTGTTACATTAATGTTAGGAACTATTGCATCATTAATTATGTCACATGTAGTTGTAGGAGTACATAATGTAGTTCTTCATGACAAACAAAGTAATCGTGGAGAAGATGGACTTAAGTGGAGACCATTATTCTTCTATTGTAGATTCTTAGTTACAAAGATTATTGTTCCAATCTTCTTATTTATCTCATTTGTATTGTTAGTGATTGGTATGTTCTTGATTTCATTTTCATTTGATTTCTTAGGACTTGCAGGATGGGCATTAGCTATTCTTGGACAATCTCCACGAAGAGAATTCTCTGTTGTTGATCTTGGAACACAACTTCCAGGTGCTACTAGAGAACCAAACAGTTTTGCTGTTAGAATAACTCAAATAGTGTATTTCATGACAATCATTGTATTACCAATTCTTCATATGGTTTCATTGTTTGTATTATGGTTTGCACCATTGCAAAGACGATTCCAAAGTTTCTTGTATCATTGTTGTGAAGTATTATATGCATGGTCATGTATTGATGTCTTTGTAGTTTCAGTTATTGCTGCTATTGTTGAATTATCACAATTTGCATCATTTATGGTTGAGCCATATTGTTCAGCTAAAATTCCACAACTTGGAGCAAGTATTGATGATATTGTAGCGGAATTCTTTGGAGATGAAGAACTTATTGATGGGCATGAAACATGTTTTGAAGTTAAAGCCAACCTTGAAGGAGGGTGTTGGTTATTGTTTGTAGCAGTTATCATTTATACAATTTGTTCAATTGCAATCATGAAGATTACAAAGAGATGTCTTGCTAAACGACTTCCAACTGAAGAAGAAAGAGCTGTAATGAATGGAACAAAGATTGAAATGGCAGAAAATCAAGAAGATGATAGTGATAATACAAACAAAACAGAAGAAAAGAAAGAGGATGATAATGACAGTACAAACAAAACAGAAGAAAAGAAAGAAGAAGATAATAATGATGTACCTTCTCCTCAAGAAAGTGAAGAAGAAGAGTTAAATTCTGAGTCAGTGAAAAGCGAAGAAGAAAATGATGAGTAAGAAAATGTTTTTAATGAAAGGATATAATCATCTAAAATTAATGAACAGATAAAATGTTAATTAATATTTTATTCAGTATTAATGTTTTCTTTTTCCTTTATGAAGATTATTAAAAATTAAAAGGAAATATTTGAGGTGTGTTTTTTAGCTATCAGGTCTGACTTTAATTTTTGTCTAAAACAATAAGAGGTTAAACAATAGGTTAACTAAGTAGTCGTTTTGTCTTTTCAGTGATTGTTAATGCAAGGGACAGCACAACAAAATAATTCGTTGGTTAACTCTTATTTCATAGTTTTTGAATTTTTAATAAAATAAGAAAATTAAAAAGTAGTTAATTAAGTATTAATAGAAATATCTTCTATTGTTCCTTGCTCAGGGGAGACTACTAATCCCGTCCCTTCGCTTAAAAGTATTTGTTCTTCAACTTTTGGATTATTCTTTGTTTTTAGTTGTTGAACTGTGAGAATTTCCTTTTCTCATTTTTAGTGTGGAATAAAGTATTTTAAACATCCCTTATTTAAATATTCATTATTTAATTTCTTTTTAATTTCGATGGGTTTAGATTTCTTCTTCTTCATTTTCTTATTTTAAGGAGAGTATGTAATTACTACTGTATTGCTTTGGGCTAATATTCTTTTAGCCTCATCCACTTGACCCTTTTCTTTTGATAATCTTTCTTATATTATCAATTATACTTGTATTCTAACAAGTAATAATAACATCTTTATAAATACCCATTCGTTTATTGTCAATGATATTCTGTCATTGCACATAATAAACACTGCTATTCTTGCAGTACCGGGTAAGATGTTTTTCTAACCAAACGCTACGTCATAACCAGTCCATAACTGGGGGGAATCGAAGGATGGAAATATTTTAGGGTTCTATGTGGTGTCTCTGACGTGCTACCTTCGAATCATTTTTAATAAAATAAGAAAATAATAAGATGAAGAAATGGGTTTTAAAGAAATAAATAATCAATAAATTAATTCCAATTTAATACAACTTTTTGGTATTTTGTAATACTCGATGTGAATAAACAATTATTTAAATTCAACTGTCATTCTGTCATTTTTTAAAACAAACTTATTCAGACACGAAATGTCTAAAACGTTGTAATAAAGAAATAGATATTCAGTATTTATATTTATTGTTTTGCAACGGATAAATATATAAGTCTCTTGTATAGGAATTATTTTTTTGAATTATTTTAAAGTACTAATTTGAAATAGAGCAGACCTCCATCTCTTATCTTCGATAGGTGAAAATAAACAATCTTCGATAGTTGAAATTAAACAATACCACCAATCAAATTAATATAACCACTTCTTTTTAACAAATGAAAACATTACTTTTCATTAAAAAAATTAGTAATATTAAACTCTAAAATTTTTAACACAAAAAAAGTTTAATATCATTAAATCAATTTAATTTTTGTTTTTTGGTATTTTTATATTTTTTTTATTGATTCTAAAACAAATCTTACAAAAAAAAACTGGGTATTAATTATTCAGTTCTCATGGCTGAAAGAAATGTTTTAATCACTATTGCCTTATGTGGTTTGTTTTTAGTTCAACTAGAACTAGGTAAATAACTGATTATAAATAGGAGATGCAAGTGTTGGAAAAACAGGAATTTTTAAACGTTTTATTAAAGATCAATGTTTGTAATCATTTACAAATGAAAAGCCAATCACTTATAAATAGTCAGTAAAAATGAAAAATCAACAATTTCTTGTGATGTAGCTTGTAAGAAAATGAATGTTGATGGAAGATCTTATAATATTCAATTGTGGGATACAGCTGGACAAGAAGTATTTAGAGCTACTACTTCAACCTATTTTAGAAATAGACATGTCATGTTATTTTGTTATGACATTACAAAAAAAGAATCCTTTAACCATGTTGAAGATTGGATTAAAGAGTTTGAGCAAGTCCAACGAGAGTCAAATAAAACGATTAAATTTTTAATAGGTTGTAAAAAAGATGAAAATGCTAATCGTCAAGTCACTTCAAACGAAGGCAAATTCTTTGCTAAACGAAATAATATGACACATTTTGAATGTTCTGCTTTGAAGTTTGTTCTTCGAATTTTCTTTTTTATTTGATTATTACTAACACATAGTGGAGAAGGTGTCACTGAAATTTTTGGAGCTGCTATTGCTGAATTACAAAAGACTGGGGGAATTATTGACCTTGATCCAACTAAAGACATTAACGTTGTCCAAAGACAAAAAAGACCAACTATTTCACAACCAAAAACTTCTTCTAATCAACAAAAAAATAAAGAAGACACTACAGTTGACATTCAACAAAATCTAGCAAGTGGAGAGTCTGGAGAAGAAGAAGCTGGCTGTTGTTGATTAATTCATATTGTCTTGATCATTTTTAATAAAAATAAAAAATTGTTTTATCTAAAGACTTAAAAATAAATTTTTAAAGAATTTGTTCTTCTGCACTCTGTTAATATTATTATTTGTTTCTTCTAAATTCAATACAAAAGTTATAACTTTGAAGTTTTATTTAAAAGATATAATACAACGAAGAAGAAGATAAGAAGTAGAAAATAAGAAAGAAATGAAGAATAAAAGAAGAAGAGAATTGTAGAAAGATAAGAGAAGAAGAGATAAAACAAAGAAATAATGAAAAAGAGAAGAAAAAGAGAAAGAAGAGAGAAAAAGGGGTGGGGGAAGGAGAAGATAAAAGAGAGAAATAGAAGAAGTAAGAAAGAAACACAAGAGAATAAAAGAAGAGATAAAGAATAAGAAAGGAAAGAAAAGAGGAGAAAAGGAGAATTGAATCTAAAGGGAAAGAATAAAAAAGAGAAAATGAGAAGAAAAGACAAAAGAGATAAAAGAAGAGAAAGAGAAAAAAGAAGAGAAATGAAAAGATTAATGATTCGAATGTTTCACAAGAAACAAGATCAAAGAATTGTAGGGAAGATAGAAGAGAAAGGGAGACAAGGAGTTTTTGTAAGAGAGAAACCAGTATTTTGTGTACCAAGTAATGGGAATGAAGTTAAAGAACTTATAGATGGAGAAGAAACGATGAAAGAGATTGCGGAAAGGATAGAAGAAGCTAAAGAGAGTATATATATAACAGATTGGAGAATAGATCCAGAGATAATTTTAATAAGAAGAGGAACACATAGATTAAAAGGGAAGACATTAAAAGAAATACTTGAAAAGAAAGGAGAAGAAGGGGTTAATATTAAAATAATAATATATTCATCACCAATATTTATGGATATAGTAAAAGGAGAAGAAAAGAGAAATATATTAGAAGAAAAAGAAAAGATAGAATGTTATTGTCATAAATGGATGATGGGATATAGTCAACATGAGAAAACTATAATTATTGATCATAAAATAGGATTTTTAGGAGGGATTGATTTAGCAGAAGGAAGATGGGATACAAAAGAACATTTTATAGAAACAGATAATAAAGAAAAAGGGGAAGAAATAATTAAAGAAGAATGTTATAATACAATGATAAATAAAGAAGAGAATCAAGAAAAAATAAGATTACCATGGCATGATATTCATTGTAAAATTGAAGGACCAGCAGTTAATGATATAGAAAGGAATTTTATAGAGAAATGGAATAAAATATGTAAAAAAGAAGAAAGAATAATAAAAGAAAAAGAAGAAAATAAAATAAAAGGAACGATGTCAGTTCAAATAGTTAGATCAAATTCAAAAGAAGCAGGAGGGAAATATAAAGTTGAAAGAGGATGTTATGAAGGAATAGTTAGAATTATTGAAAGAGCAGAAGATTATATTTATATTGAAGAACAATTTTTTATTTCAAATTATGGAGGCAAAAGAATATGGAATTTAATAAGTTTAACAATTGGAAATAAAATAATTGAAGCATATAAAAAGAAAAAAAAATTTAAAGTAATTATTGTAGTTCCAATTTGGAGTGAAGGAGAATTAAAATCAAATATTGTTAAAACAATTATGAAATTATTTAGAAAAACAATAATAAGTGGAAAATTAAGTTTAATTGAAAGAATGAAAAAAGAAGGAATTAAAAATATAGAAGAATATCTTAAAATATTAACATTATATACATTTGGAAAAAAAAAAAAAGAAGGAAAAGAAATAATTATTGGATCACCAATTTATGTTCATAGTAAATGTATTATTGTTGATGATCAATATGTTTTTATTGGAAGTGTTAATATTAATGATAGATCACTTATAGGAGAAAGAGATACAGAAATTGGAGCAATTATTGTTGATTCAAATAAAATTGAAATTGAAATTAATGGTAAAATAAAATATGTTAATAAATTTGCATTAAATCTTAGAAATAGAATTTGGTCAGAACATTTAAATTTAGAAGAAATAGAAATTAAAAAATTAAAAAATGATCCTATTAAAATTATTGATAATATTATTTATCCTATAAGTGAAAAAAATACAATTATTTATGAAAAAAATTTTGATTTCTTTCCTTCAAATAAATATCCTAAATTTATAGATTGTAAAAAACATCTTTATCCAGAATTAATTGGTGATAAAAAATATTTAAAAGATATTAAAGGACATTTTATTAAATTTCCATTAGGATTTGGAAAAGATGAAAAAGCATCTCTTGGAATGGGAAATATATTAATAGAATAAATAAAAAATAATAAAATAAAAAATATAATAAATCTTAAATTAATTCGGGATAAATTAAAATTTAAAAACAAAAAATAAAAGAACTAAGAAAGAAATTAAAATTAAAAAATAAAATGGAAGAAAGTGAAATTATAGAATTAAAAGAAATAAAATATGGAAAAAGAAGAGGTCAAAATCAAAAGAAAATTAAAATTGAAAATATATATAAATTATGGGAAAACAATGGAATAATATATATGATTATTGAAAAAATTAGTAATATAATACATATTTCAATTATTGGAATTATAATTAGTGTAATTTGTTTTTATAATTTTAATTTTTTTAATAAAAGTGAAAAAATAATTATTAAAACATGGTGGAGATTAGTAATATTTATTATTAATGGAATAATGGTTGGAATTATGAATATTAAATATTGTATTAGTATTATTAAAATAATTAAAAAATATAAAACAACAATGGAATTTTGTAATAAAAAAGAAAATCAAAAAATATTTTATATTAATGAATGGGATGATGATATAAATAATAAAAAAGGAATTTGTTATAAACTTAATACAGAAAAAGGAAAAAAAATTCGAAATGAAATTGATATTTTTAATGGAGAAATAGAAATAAGTGAAAAAGAAATAAAAAATAAAATTTTACAAAAACTATCCTTTAGAGATGATGTTATATCTATTATTCTTAGAAAAATATTTAAAGAAATTGAAAAAAATAATATAATAATTAAATATATTCAAAAAGTTTGTCAAACAAAATATTTTATTAAATATTTAAATAATGTTTTAAATAAAACAACTAAAGAAATATTTTTAACAACACCTATTAATACAATAACACCAAATAAATTTAGTTATGAACATTATTTATATTTAAAAGAATATAAAGAAATAAGATTTATATTTATTGAAACATTTAAAAGAAAATTAATTATTAATTTTAATAATAAAATATTTATTAGTTTTATTGGAAATATATTTAAAATTATTTCTAATATTATTGAATTTATTTTACAAGATTTTTCTATTATTCTTAATAATACTTGGTCATATGGTGGAATTAAATTTTTACATCAAATTGAATTTAATCATACTCAAAAATATCATCTTAATAAAGCTCTTAAACATGCTAAAAATATTATTGATAGAAAAAAAAATATTAAATTGAAAAAAATTATTGTAAAAATTATTAAATTTATACTTATTGGTAGTTTAATAATTATGTTAATTTTTAATTTAAATGAACATGGAATTGAAAATTTTGATATTGATACTTCATCTGGATTATTATCTTTTTTAATTCCTTTTAAAAATTTTATTACTACAGGAATTATATTATTTTTTATTGTTTTAGTAACTCAATATTCAAATGAACCAGATTTTACAACTTCTTTTATTGAAGAAAAAATTAAACTTGAAAATTTATTAAATTATAATTTCCCTTCTACTGGTAAAAATGGAATTAATAATCTTAATGATTTTTATTTACCTAGTTGTTATGAATTATGTTTAAATGAATTATTTGCACCTTTTACTACTATAAATTTATTGAGAAAACAAGAAAATAGAGATTTATTTGCAAATGGATTAAATGAAATATGGTATGATGATAGATTTGTTAAAGATGATAGTCCTTATAATAATTCTTATTTTGAATTAACTCAATTTTTATAATCTTTTTTTTTTTTAATATTAAAATTGATTTTATTTAAAAAATATTTTTAATTTTAAAATATTAATTTAAATGATTATGATTTATTTCTTCTTCTTCTTCTTTCTTTAATTTATTAATTTTAAATAATATAATAGTAAATAAAAGTGATGATAAATATGAAATACATCCATTCATTAATAAATATATTATTGGTTTCAATAATATATTTATTATATTTCTTTTTTCTTCTTGTATTCCAATAATCATTATTGTTTCTATAATTTCTTTTATTCCTTCTTCTTCTCTTTTATCTTTTAATTTATATATTATATTATTACTTAAACCTAAAATTATTCCACAACTTCCTCCTATTAACCAACTTGACCAACTCCATTGATAATTCTATTTGATTATTTTCTTATTTTTTATTTTTTAATTAATTTATTTCAAACTTCTGTTTGTAATTGTGAAAATATTCTTACCCATGATATTAATATCATTAAAAGATTACTTAATATAATATTATTTATTATTATTATTTGTTTTTCCCAATTATTTCTTTTCATATTATTCATTTTATTTTCAATTTCTTTTATTATCCAAAATTTTACAAAAAAGATAATAATTCCACAAACTATTGCTTTAAAATAATTCGATCGAATAAATGATTGATGTTGAATTGGTCTTGGAATCCAACTTTGTTTTATATCTTTCATTTGAGTTCCAATATAATATCCAATTATTGTCATTATACTAATCATTAAAAATATAATTCCATTGTTTTTTATATTTATTTCTTGTTTTATTATTATTATTACTAAAATTTGACTAATAATTGGTATTCCTATTGTTTTAATTTTTCTTATTTTCCATTGTTTTGTTAATTTCCCTATTATAATTGATATAATTCCTGTAAAAATTATTTCTATATTTATTATCTTTCTTTTTATTGTTTCATCTCTTTTTATTTCAATTATTTCACAAATAATTAAACTCCAATAACAGCAATTTATTCCTATTCCAATTGAATTGACTATCATTAATAGTATTGCATTTTTCGGTTTATAAAATATATGTCCTAAAATATTTTTATAATTCTCTATTTCTTGTTTTTTCCCTTTATGTATCATTTTACCTAAACAAAATATTGTCATCCCATTCCCAAATAATAATATTACCATTAATAATATATCTTCAATTCCATTTTCTTCTCCTATTATATTCTCAGTGTTATTAATTCCGTGATTATCAATTCCTTCTTCCATATTTCTT